GTATATGGGCGAAAACGATCGAGCGACCAAACTCTACTGAGAGTCCGGTAAGAAAAAAACGCTTCTTTTATACCCTTCTTGGGTTCGTCTTATCCACCAATCAGAGACGTTTATTTGTCGCGTTTCACATTGTATACGTGACGCTGGGATCCCCAAGCAGTCAGGGCGCGATGTGTATCTAATGGTACCGGTGATGATGTATCGCGGTATCTATTATATACAGTTTACATCACCGTCGTTGCCCGCTGATGGAACCGACGAAAATGTAAACCGATATCTTAGTATCTTAGTACTAAGTAAACTATAGATTAATTTTTGTTCGAGGCTAAAATTTCCTTTTTTTTCAACAGTTTTAATATTTTAAATCAGACTAATAAATAAATTATTCCTGTCTCATATATACGTGTTCACTTTACGAAGATTTATTATGAACTGAATACTCGTTTTGGTAGGTGACAATAATAAATGAATTAATATTTACATGGTGACGAAACTTGATTAACATAATCCGTAAACTTAATCGATATTTAAAAATTGTCGATAAAATAGAAAACATTAATTATCTACATCTGCCATATTCTAACAGGAAATAAAAATTCAGTTGATATAGAAATATTCTCCGGATTGAAAAATTCTGTGACATTTTGTTATAACTTTTGATCCATTGGAGGTATTGCAATGAAATTTTTACTAAAAATATTTAAAAAATAATCGTTCGTAACTATACATAATTAAATATTCTTTGTATTTGTTAAGCAACAATTTTTAGATTATTTTAATTGATATTTTTAATTAAATAAATTGTTCAAATTTAATTTTACAAACTATTTTTTACTTTCTGAAAACGTATATTATAAATGCATATTAATAATATGCATCATATTATTAACACACATTAAACTCGAAAGACCGCCAGGCCCCGTGGCGCGAAATCAATGCGTATGCCTAAAAAGACGATGGGCAATGAATCGACCCAATCCGACTCAGCGTGGCACGTGATCGCCGCCTTTGGTGATCTGCCCTGATCGGTGGTTAGTCGGCGCGGCACCCCGAATCTTGCGATCCAATCCAACAGAAGTGTACGTGCCACGGTCTCGGCGATCGGGAAAGCTTCCTGGCATCGGGTGTAACGACCGACGCACGTCAGGCAGTATCGACGATGTCCACGGACCGACGATGTCCACGTGAATGTGCTCGAATCGCATCGAAGGCGCAACGAAACTGCCGATGGGTGTAGACACGTGTCTACTGATTTTCGCCAGCTGGCACGGAATGCACGCCTGTGTCCAGGATTTATAATCTTTTCAGATACCTGGCCACACAAAACGTTCCGCTATGAATGTCGTGGTTGCCTTGACGCGAAGGCGTCGATGTATCACAATACAAAATGGCATTCGTTCCGAGGAGCGCAACCTTTTTCAGCATGAGGGATGAATCAGAATGTAGAAGAACGCGTAGTTCTTCGTCCTCGCGTTTGCGCAAGTTTCACATAGTCGAGCGCTCTCGAAATTATCGCTACTCGGGACAATTACTCGGCCACCACATTGTCTTCCCCGTATTCGTTCAGGCGACTAAATAGTTCGCGAAAGTATCGTTCATGCTCCTCGATGGAGCTGGATGCCACAAGGACATTGTCTATGTACACATAACACTACTTGACTCCGCGCTGCGAAGTGCGAAAGACAGCCAGGGAAATTCGAATAAGCTGAACGGGGTTGTAATCGCGATCTTAAGTATATCGTCTGGATTCACTGGTATCTGATTAATTATACGCGCGTACCAAATAAATGGTCGAGAAAATAGTTTTACTGGATAGACGCTGTGTGAAGTCTTCGATATGTGGAACTGGTTACATATCCGAGATTGTCCTCGCGTTTAACGCATGATAATCGCCACACGGACGCCACAGCCAAGTGAAGTGCCGATGACCAACAGCTTTCTAACCTCCGTGCTGTGCCATCTCTGACCATGGCCTCGAATTCGGTTCTTGCAATTCTCAGCTTGTCAGACGCGAGACGTCGCAGTTTACACGCCATCGGTGGTCCCTCCGTGGTTCGTATGTGGTGTTGCGTGGACGACGAAGCACTCTTCGTCGCTCGGTGTCCTCTCAACGGTCGCGTGATGTCCGGGAATTCGGCGAGGATCAGGTGGTACTTCGTGTCCCCTGATATTGCCCGAACGCTCTGTTCAGCTGGAGAATACGCGTCCGCGCGTCTTCAGGGTCGTGATTCCATCAAGGAGTCTCTTCGCACGCAGGTCAACGAGGAGGTGGTAGAAACTAAGGAAGTCGGCTCCAATGATGGGTGTCGTGACGTCCGCGATGACGAATCGCCCGTCGCAGGTCGCGATTCAAACGCAGTGAGATGTATCCGTACGTCAATATTCTCGAACCGTTTGCCGCGTGAAGCACATATAGTGTCTTTTCACGCGGGCCACTTACGCGCGAGAGCGGATATACACATAGATCGGATCCGAGTCCACCATGAAATTTATTTTCGTATCGCAATCCGTTACGAAAAGGCGGCTCGTCGTCGGCCTGGAATCGCTGGCCGTCGCTAACGATTGGCCCGGTTGTTTCCCGATAGGGAGATGCAAGGGTCGCGGCACTTTCTCGCTGCGAGGCGAATCATCGCGGTCGCGCGATCGCGACCGTCAACTCAATGAACTGCGGTGTCCACGTCTCGACGGTGAACACAAGCGGCGGTAACCGTCCCTTTCGATGCGGAGGGCGGCGATCTTGCGGCGAAACTCCGCCAGTTCTCCGCGAAAATTGTCACTACTGGCCGACGCAACGGCGATTTACGGGCACGGTTTCATTTCATTCACCGCGTTAGCGAGAGTGGCCAACTCAGTTAAACTGTCCTTCTGTCGCGTAAGTAGTAATGTTTGTACACACGTTGGAAGGCGTCCCAACCACAATGTCTTTAACCCTTTCGCTACGGGCGGGTTCTCCACCGCGGTACTTCTGCTGAACGGAGTGCTGCGACATCACTGCACGCTACGCGACGGCGATCGTCAGCGGGAGTCGGTACTCCGCGGCGGTTGGCGGAGAACCCAAGCTGTTTGAATTGAATGAATTTTTCGAACGAAAAAATTTTTCTCCAAAGGGTATTTATAAATAAAGGGTATTCCAGGGTATTTTATAACGTCTTAGCATGCGCTTTTTAATTTACAGTATGAGAGAAAATAATATTATGCAATATAATGCATCTTATGGAAAGCTACTATAGTGGTCCGTAGTACCTCAGTAGCACCATATGGAAAGCCATTATAGTAGTCCGTAGTACTTCAGTGGCATCATATGGAAAGCCACGATAGTGGTCCGTAGTAGCGAAAGGGTTACAAAAATCGTCAGACACTGTGTCAACCGCGAGACTCTGCAGCTGCCGTAAAAAAATCGACACCTTCCGATCACCAATTTCTTCTTGTTCCAGGAGGTGGCGAATCTTCTGCTCTTTGGAATTCAAAAAGCGTCGGATTACCACGGTCTTAATGGTACATACCGGTGGTCAGCGGGTCGATGATTAAATCGATCGACAAATCGACTTTCGAGGTTCCCGTAGCGAGTCGAGTCCTGCGTTATTGCCGCTAAAGTAAACTGCGACTCCAGCTGCCTAAACCAAGTCGCCGGAATTTCTCCCAAAAAGGCGGGACGCGGACGGCTACGCGCGGAGCGCTACCTCTGCTCTTGTGACGTTTGCAGAGCTCATCTCCGCATTTTTGAGGACACCACAAATTCGAAAAAAAAAACATTTTTTCACGTCGGGGTCACTGTTCCGTCTTGCAACGGAATTTTATTTTTTTCGGCAAACGGTTTTCCATTAGTACGTTTAGGGGACAGCGAGATCCCATCAATAAATTAAATTAAGGTGCGTAGTCACAATCACACCAAGTCCGCTGTTGAAGCAACCATAAACGGAAATTTGTAAACACCGTCAGGCACACCATCTGCATCCGTCTTTATTTTTATGATAGGGTCACCCCATTGTGCCGTGTCGTCCACGTTCTCGAGTTTTTCCCGCCATCTGCGTTGTTGTGCGATATGACCAATCGCCTTCAAGTTTTCTCTCGGCGAGAAGTATATAAGAACAAGTCGCGGTTACTAATCACTCCGGTCTATCGTTCGCACATAGTCTTGATACGATTGTCTCTGTTAAGACAGCCTTGTCAATCTTCACAATTCGATCGACCACAACATCTCCGCTAATCGATCATTCTTGTACGATAAACCACGATCTATTTAATAAAACAGTTGTTCATTTTTAATTAAACGGACAACGATATCGTCCTATTCTGTCGCGCAGCGTAATCGGCCTTACAACCCGATAAATAGTTCATATTGCGGAGTAACGATATCAGGTGCTCATACGGCGCACCTCTACAGTCACCAATAATGTGGTAGTCGGGAGGAATAATCGAAAACCGTTCGTGATCGCTCGAGAGTCAACGTTCGACTGTCTTTTTACATCCAGGCCTCGTCGTTTATAGTTTGATCGTTCGAACAAATGACGGACAAAAGACCGGTGGTATCTTTAATAAATAGTTACAACATATTTCAATATCGTCAAAATCCCTGACATCGAGGGCAAAGTAGAATGCTTGCCATGGAATGGTCTATCCAGTATCTTATATGGTTCATTTTTGTAATATCCTGATACCAAAACACTCTATTATCTAAAAATTTCATTTAAATTCTCTACTAGATGATAATGTATCTAGAGACAATATTTAGATAATGGACTTTTGGATACCAGAACAATGCAAAAATAAATGTTCGGTTATGGGAGTTTCTCTATTGTATATGTACTATTACTTCAAATATTAACTATTACTTCAAATGACCTCAGGAACCCCATATTTTCCGGAAGTACCATAATTTTAGGACACCCTATGTGTACCATGTGTATATGTATATTGTATATGTATAGAAAGTAGAATACTCGGCTATTTAGAAAAGATACTTTATCAAATCGTATCTTCATCAATTTCAACAAACATCAGTCAAATCAAAAGTTCTTTCTTTCGTTAACAATCTCAGTGAGTCGAAAATGATACACACATACTCTTAATTTTTAAAAAATAGTTTCGCTATCTTAAATTTCACTTACCCATTTTTATTATAAAAGCATAAAATCCGCAGTCTAGTAATTACACTAACCACCAAACTTATCAAGTTTGACCTTAGATTATAACAAAAACATTCAGCAAATATTGTTTTAAAAATGTAACTCCTATAAGTAACATAAAACTTCAAAGCTATAATCCGCCTATTTTTAGAAACTACTGTATAAAATCTGTATTAAAGTCCATTTCTTAAAATAAGTTGTTAACGATATACATGTAATGTGGTTTCATATTAACGGTTACAAAACTTTTCATTTCTCTCGAGATGATGGCCAACCTGTTTAATCCACAAACAATTTCTTAATTTGATATAATATTTTCATGTTTCTCACCCAATGGCATAATCGTTAATGTGAAACTAGTGCTAACATGCAAGATACTCGACAACAAGATGCAAGAAAATTTGCAGGATTATTCTTTATGGCAAGATAAGATGAAAGTCGAGTGAGAACAAAAATTACGACCTTCACTTTGTCGGTAAGCTATTAACAATAAAAGTTTATAATACTGAGGTGCGAGTCAGTTCTCCGTCTTCGAGGATCAAGATCTTTAATCGTTAACAACTTGAAAATAAAGTTTAAATCATACTTTTTTAATCCTCGATTTTCGTCTTACTATCGTCTTACTTTTGTCTTACTTTCTATCACCCCTTAAATCTCCAAACTGTTGCCGAATACACTATATACTACATATAACAACAACTATTTCATGCTGGTCATAAACCACAGATAACAACAATAATTGGTTATCTGAACTTGTTTGGCACATGTTTCTCTTCTGACCTTATTTTTTCAATGATTTTTTGTTGCTGTTCTATTTTTGTTGTTTTCTTGCGTAAATCCTAAAAAACAGGCATTATATTTTATTATATTGCACATAATATTGTATATATACTTTCATTAGGAGAAACCAATTTAAAGATTATTGAACACACCATTTCCAGTTGAGTGATTTTATCTTTCAACTGAGACACGTGTTTAATTCTTTGCTTATGGTTTTGATGGCCTATTAGCTCGGCATATTTTTCACTAATCTCTTCGTGATCTTTTTTTAGGCGCGCATTATATTCAAGAAGTTTTCTGATCTCTCTGCAACAACAAAAACATATTTTATTATTTCAAGAATGAAATCTTTTAATAAAATAATTTATATGCGACTGGAACGTACTCTTCGGCGGCTTCTCGTCGGGCTTTTTCTTCTTCTAGTAATTCAGTCTTGTCCTCTATATTATTACGCCTCTCCTCAAAGGTTCTAACCGTATTAGAAAGTTCTTCTATTCTGACATTTGCCTATAAATGTATCCTTATAAATTCTACAACATAATTATACTATAACAATGATTTGAAGTCAATACCTCATTTAAAGTATCTTTGTATTTTATTGTTTCAGCTTCCAAGAAATTATTACTTTTTGCTATTTCTAATTTACTTTCTTCCAATTGTCGAGCAAGTTCACGATTTATCATTTCTAATTGAGAAATTTCGAGTTCTTGAGTACTATTCTTTTTCTCCAATTTAAGCAGCATATTTTTCGTTTCATCTAAACGTTCAGCCATGTTTTGAAGTCGGATTTTCATCTAATATTT